TTTATATTTGACTTAAAATTATTGGACTTGAGAATAAATATTTTGACTTTTTTTTCCTGACTCACTTCTACTTGACTGATTATTGCCATATGTTCATTCTTCATTGTTAAATAATCTTTTTTATTTTTTTAATTAAAACATATTAAACTCTTCATTATTTGGAGTTTGGCTGATTTGACCTTTCACACTAATCCTGACAAACAGTGAAAATACAAACTGGAGCTTTTCTTGGCACAAGTTTCTCGATTGTGATCAATTTGTTTTTCTGGTTTATTTTCATAAACCTTAATTTCCTTGTTGGGCCAGAGGAGGTTAATCGTGTCTGAGTCCAGGCTGGAAACAGGACCCCAGTTTAGCCCGGTCTCATGGGAATATTAGGGGATGGTTCTCAGTCCACATCCCTCCCTCTCTGCGTCTTTACGCACCGTGCGCACCGGGGAGGGAGCTGGAGTCAGTGCGGTCCAACGCTCCACAGAGACGGGGAAACGTTCTCCTCACACGGTGGAAGAACTTTGGGGAAATATTAGGAAATATTGCATCCAAAAGAAAAACCCCTCCTCCCCCGGAATGAAGCGGCAGCTCCGTGAGTCCAGCTCCGGGACTCCTCCGGAGGTCTGAGGGATTCCTCCGCTCTCCTGGAACATTATGGGAATATCGGAGTGATTTGTTTTCCTCCCTCTCCCCGGGGCGGGGGGGATTATCTTCCCACACTGAGCAGGAGGCTGGTCCGAGGGCGCAGCGGAGCTAAATGCGTCTGACTGGCGACTCTGCACCGAGAACCATGAACAGCGGCGGGTCTGGCAACTTTCTGCTGGTGCCCATCCCGGAGTACCCGCTGCTGGACTGTGTCCCCAACAAGACCGTGAAGATCGTGGTGCTGGGGGCGAGCAACGTGGGGAAAACCGGTATGAAGTCAAAAGATTTACTTTCATGAATTGATTTTTTAATGTGCATTGAAAAAGAAATTATTTGTTATAAAATGAGCAGGAATCTATACTCACCATGCAGCTTGTTATCATCTCTGTGTTTTTATTTCAACAGTAGAAGCAGAAATATTCATTTATATCAATTAAATATAAATATCGGTGTCTGCTGGTAGAGATGATGGAGATGTAATACCTATTCCTGACCACAGGGGGAGACATTTCACCTTCTACGCATTGACGTAAAAAAAGTTTTTCTCTTTTTTCACTGTAACGCGCAACTTTGAAATTATTCAGTTCACAAATATAAAGTATAAAAATACTTTGTGGTAAATAATTAAACGGGTGTAAATGATTATTTAAAGCGCTAAATGTGAAGCCAAAGTGTCTCTATCGCCACCTGGTCTATCTATCTATTGCAGTACAGGCGACAAATCCCACCTCCTCCATGTTAGCTAGTGGGACGTAACCCAAATTAAAACACAGATAAATCATGTTTCATGTATTGAACAGGATATTCTGGCCTCATTTCAGAAGTGGAGACACGTCATCCATCTTATGAAGAAGATTAGTTATAAAGTTGCATGATGGGAGTTGCAAGATTCTTGGAGTTTGACAATCAAGTAATTTTTTTTGACCATCTTCCATTTTCCTATAAAACTGTGACGCGTCAGGATCCATGAGTGAAACCAGCAGAATGTTCTCAGGGGAAATAAAATCCACTGATTCGACTAAACTCGCCTGAAACAGAAGTCAAAGTAAAAAACCTTGAATCCAAATAAACAAGCGATAAATGAGACAATCATTCACCGACAGGACGAGTTGACGCAGGCGGATTGCGACATCAGATTCTGTGGTGAATGATTGTCTCCAGACTTGTGTCCTGTTTGTTTAGCTCATCTCTCTGCTATGAAAGTCTCCGAAATCAAAACCCGACTCGTCAGGGAAACGGGAAATTCCAGCGTCACTCACGAGCAGCAAGTATTTAATGGTTATGTGGGTCAGTAGGTTTGCATCTTTCTGGTCCGAGCTCAGCCCAGATCTTGCGTCATGCACGCTGACACCGCACCGCAGCTCTTAAAAACCGTCCTGCACAAGCTCTGGATTATTTACAGAAACATGATCCTCCTCCACTTTGGTATTTCCCTCTGATTCAGACTTCTCTTGTCTCTCTCCAGCTCTGATCGTCAGGTTTCTCACCAAGAGGTTCATCGGGGATTATGAAGCAAACACGGGTGAGTTTCAGCCTCTGAAATATTTAGCAGCGTAAGCAGGAAAAAAAAAAACCCCTCGGCTCCAGAGAAATCCCGCCATTGATCCATCTCTCCATTGACTCATTCAACCCCCCCCCCCCCGTCTGGTTCGTTCTCCGCAGGGGCGCTCTACTCCAGAAAGGTCACCATGGACGGGGAGGAAGTGTCGCTTCAGATCCAGGATACTCCCTGCGTCGCTCTCCAGGTAAATGCAGAGGCGGCCGCCATGTTTCCAGAGTTTCAATGAACAGAGAGAAAAATCTTTTCTTCTCTCGCTGGACGTTTAAAAGACGATATGAGCTCGAATTTTATTCGAGGTAACAGGAAGTTTAACTTTGGTTCTTATTCTTGCGTCATATCCGTTGTTACCTGCGGCTTTGTCCGTCTCTGCTTCAAACAAAGTATGAAACTCATGAGTCGTTGCCGTTTCCTGAATCAAACTTTAATACGTTTACTCAAGACAACAACTCCCATGATCCCACACTGCTTTACAACGTTCAGCCTAAAGTTCAAGAAATATTCTTTGCTGCAAAAGTAAAACTGGTTTTAAAATGTTTATATTTGCATCTGTTGCTGCTGCGTTTGGTGGAGCAGTTTAAAATGCTGAGACGTCTTCGTTGCTGTACATCTAAAAGTTGAAACACGTCCCTCAGAGGCCGTCAACAGGAAAGAAAAACTTCCATTTTTATCTCAAAGCAATTTGAGGAAACGTATTTGAAGAAAGAGGAAGTTGGACCATCTCTGGACTCCTGATGAGGATAATGAGTGGAACGTGCCGGGCAGCTCACCCCGCTCCACACCGGCTGTCTGTTTACCAGACCAGGCCTCTGAGCTGCTCATTTCCTACAGGAGGGGGGGGGAGGAGGGAGATAACAGAGGGGTGAGGAAGCGGTGTGAGGGAGGATGATGGTGGAGCGGTTTGCAGAGATTAGAAGGAAATAGTTAGGTGTGTGGATTCAGGAGGAGTCGAGAACCTGAGAAACTCTTTTTTAACTCTTGATGACGGTAGATGTGAGCGGACGACTGGGTGGTCCGCTGGTTCAGGAGGAGTCACAAGTTCCTTCTGTGAAACAGCTGGTGTGTGTCCATAAACAGACTCACACTCACCTCCTGCTCCTCCTCCTCCTCCTCCGTCACTTCGAGCTGTGCTGGACGACTCAGGATAATCTTGAAAATGAGAATGTGTTTCGCTGACACATCAGAAGGACAAAGACGCACCCAACATGGATTGTAAATAAAGATGTGGGTCGACGTGTCTCTGCTTCCTTCTGCGGCCATTTTTTTTTGCAATTTCGTCATCATTCGGAGCCAGAGTCTATTTTCTGAAACATCACAATAATTCATTAATCAGATAATTACAAATAATTCCTGTCTGTTTCCTGCAGGACGACGTAGAGGGGCTGTACTGTCAGGAGCAGATCAACAGGTCAGACATCGAACTACCTTCATTCCAATCACTGACACCTTGTTTAATAACATACAACTAAATATAATAACTGGACTTCCAGGTCGATCTACTGGGCCGACGGTTACGTGCTGGTTTTCTCCATCACGGACCACAACAGCTTCCGAACCATCCAGCCTCTCTACCAGCACGTCAGACGCATCCACCCGTCTGGAAACATCCCTGTTATACTGGTCAGTGTGCGGACGCCAACAATTACAGATTATTGATTATCATTGATCGCTGATGTGCTCGGGTTGGTGTTGAGAGCGCCCAGACAAAAGTCTGCTCTGTAATCTGAAATCTCCTGCAGGTTGGCAACAAGAGCGACCTGCTCCGCGCCCGACAAGTGCCTGCGGACGAGGGCGAGACGTTGGCAGCTTCATTAGGTGAGACGTCCTCCTCTTCCTCCTGCAGCTTCTGCTTCCTCCTATTTTGTGCCACAGTTTCAGAAGGAATCACAGAACGTTCTCATAAATATTTGCACCAACATATATGATGGGTTCTTTCCTCATCCTTCCACCGAGACTCCACCAACACACTTAAATTCACTAGCTCCAGATTTTTGTTTGACATTTCGATCAGTGAACCTCTTTTCTCTGCAGCTCTGATTCTCCCACAGTCACTTTGTGAATGTGCAGATGTTGGTTGACCAATCGCAGCGGCTCGTTTCTCTGCCTGCTCCCGTGCATGTGAACTATATCCTGCACGCTGTCTAATGAACGAGGAATGCCGAGCGTTATCTGGAAGATAAGTTCTGACCCAGGCTCTCTGCTCACAGGTGGAGTTTACTTCGAGGCCTCGGCCAGAGAGAACCACGAAGGAGTCCACGGCGCCTTCCTCCATCTCTGCCAGGAGGTGGGACTTTTTTGTTTTTGGTAAAAATGGATGTAGATGCGTTGGCTGCAGAATCTCGGCTTTTATAGAAATACATCTTCCGTTGGGAAATGGGATTACAGTGTTTTTCCTTGTTGATGTCATGAGTCACTGAATAATACATATTTGTGTTTTTCCCGAGAAAGAGCATCATTAACTGAATCCTTGTGTTTTTGTTGGAGTGATCGGAGGTTTGGCCCGGAGCCTCATCGTATTTCAGTGTGTTTCCTGTGTGGTATTTTAAGCAGCAGATTCCTTAACGCTGTGTGATGTCAGAGGGTTTGAACTAACGAGGTCGAGGTCACTTTGAGAAACATCGCTCCAAATGAAAATGAAAGAAAATGCTGCTGTAACTTCCATGTTTAGCTTATTTAGCAGCTGCTGCAAACAGAAGTCACTACTCACAAACGTTCCTTCCACATCTGTAAATATGAACTCCAACAGGAAACCTCTCACATCCTGGTGATGACGAGGTCTTTAACTTCGTCACAACTTCTCGTCCTCCAGGTGATCCGAGCTTTGGGAGGAGGTAACGGCGAGAAGAGGCGAGGCGGCCTCCACCTGGCCCGCCCCAAATCTCCCAACATGCAGGAGCTGAAGAGGAGGTTCAGGCAGGTCCTCTCCTCCAAGGTCAAGTCGGCCACAACTCTCTGATCACAGCGGGACAAATAATCAAAAAACATCAGCTCCTGACAGAGACAGAGACAGACAGAGCTTCATCGGAAGATAGAAGTCGTGGATTTTTCTCTGAAGAAGAATTACGAGACTTCAGAAGAGCACAAAGTCGTCGTCTGCGGAGAGATGAATAAAAACAAAGGTTGGATCTTCACGGCAGCTGAGCTCGTCTCTGTGTTTCGACGAGAGTCACAAGAGCTGACGATCAGTTTGACGTGATGGATATCGAGCTTGTCGGCAAACCTCTGAACACATGGAGGAGCAAAATCCTCCGAACACTGATGTCTCCGTGTCTCAGTTTCCTTGTGGCTGAAAAGTGAATTGAATACATCAAATCAATAAAGAATTATTGATTTCAACCGATCGGTTTTCAAGGAAATAGCAGACGTTGTAAAAGACTTTATTTCAGGCTCATTTATATTTTTATGTTGTTTTTTAATTGAGAATTTTTTTGTCTTTCTTTATAGAAATAAATGATACTCACCATTGTTTGATGTGTTTCAGCTCCTATCAAGTCCGTTAATGTTCTCATGAAGTTTCACAAACCACCGTCTGATTTGTTTAAAGCCCTCTTTAAGATCTGGCTCAATGTCAAAATGATAACGCGGCGTGTTTGAAACAACCATGTGACTCTCATTCAGACGCTCTACTTTTCTTTTTCCACGACAGCTCGGCCCAAAGAATCTAAACTGAAGTTGTGTTCGGTGCTTTGAAGGGAATATTTCATTTCTATTGTTTTAACAGGGACAAAGATTTTAGTGTCGTGTGGAGTTAATGTAGCTGAACAGGCAAGATGTGTGTGTGTGTGTGTGTGTGTGTGTGTGTG